GCCCCTCTTTGCTTGGTAAACTTCCATCCAGCAAGAAGACCAGCTGGATCTCACTGGGTGCTTACTGGAAGGCAGCAGTTGGAAAGGTGATACCCAAACAGCCCAGGAGGTTTTCTTGTAAGGATTAGCTAAAGGGCTCCTGTGAAATTCAGTCTGTATACTGGGGTTACAGTGAATCAATCAAAGAGCTGGGTGCACTGGTTTCCATGCATCACCAGCTTAGGTGTGACACTGATTGCACAAACAAGCCGAGACTAAGTGCAATTTAAATTCTCTGTGTTTACAGGAAAAAAAAGATAATCCCTTCAAGTAGTTAAAATTCCCTTTCCTCTAATTTTGCAGTAAGTGTTGTTGTCCTAATGCTCTGCCTTACTTGGACAAATCCTAACCTTTTCTTAATTAAGGGAGATTTTTAATCACACCCATATGGACTTCATTTTCTTCCCCCCTGTTTTATAACCCCTCCAGGTTGTATTTTTATGAAACCAAAATCTTTTACAGAGCTATACAGCTGTCAGTTGTCTTATAACAGAGACAATTAATGAAATTAAGCAGTGTTAGAAAAGGAAATACCTTGCTCACCCAGCATCTCGTTGATGCTCTGACTTGTCCCACAGGAAGCCCCATGAGGCCAAGAAAGTCCCAGACACTGTGCACCTTGGAGGGGACACTGAAGTTTCACTGCTTTGGAGCCCACACTTCAGCACGGTTTGTTAAACCTGGATCAGTGCTGATGTACACCCTGATATACAGACACCCTACATGGCACCCCATGCACTGGTATTTAAATACCATCTTTCCACCCCCACACCTTCAGGCAGGTCATTTCTCATCTGTCAGACATGCAGAATAACAGTCCTAAAGTTAATAGCCATGTATTTCTAGGATTAGTATACACCATGGGAAAAACAAACCAATTGGGAAGATTGGATAATGTGACTGTATTTATTAATCCCAGCGACAGTTCAATTCAACATCTGTGAATGCTGTATTGTGAAGAGCTCAGTTCAAGCATGTTGCTTGAGAGTGGAAAAGACTGTTGGTGTGTTTTATATTTGCTGCACAAATTGAACAAGTGTGTAATTCAGAAAACTAAAATACCAGTAATTCTGCTATAGGGGTGTTCAGAAAACTAATTTCACAGAATTCCTTGGAGAAAAGCAAGGACATTGGAAGAGGAGACTCCATCTAACAGATCAGAACTCAGTTCCAGCAACACACTACTTCTAGTGCTCAGAGCCAAGCATGAAGGTGGACAATCACCAGCCCCAGAGGAGTTGAAGTTGCAGTATTTTGCAATGCAGCATGTAGTACTATAGCTGTAATATTGATTCCGGTCGTCATGCAGTCATTCTGCCAACTAGTGTGACTTTTGAAATTCTGTTTTAGATCAGTAATGTTGTCTTGAAGAAAGATTAGGTTTTTTAAAAAGAATAATTCTGTTTTAAAGTGTTTCCCAGTGTATGAAGAACAAAAGACCCAGCACCTGTTCAGAAAACAACATTTCATTTATTGTAAAGTTCCTGAAACAGTAAACACCTTATCAGAAATACAACAAATTGGCACTATTTCTTTAAGATGTTGAACTGTCTTCCAGGAACAGCATCTGGAATATTCAAGAGACCTTAAGCCACGGAATAATGAGGTGCAAGGCCCACCTTCCTCCCTGTCGCCTGCCAGTCCCACCAGTGGAAAATGAGCAGTTAATTTGTATTTGCATTACCTACCCAACAGCTCTCAGCATTCACCTGGTAGGTCACAAGCTGGAATTCACCCAACTTGTATTTAAGGACCCTCAAATGAAAGGTGGAAGAAATGAGACAAGGCAAATTCAGCTTTGGACCAGAAAAAAAAAAAAAAAAAAAAGTATTTCATAGAACTTCCAGATTTATGACTATAAAAGAATGTAGCAATGAAACCAGAGAAGGCTTTGCTCTCAACGAGATGTTTGCTGTTTATTCCAACAACTGCAAGAGGGGCACAGGCCTGGACCTCCCTCTGCCTACAGATCATGTCTCTCACATCAGAACCCTAGAAATAACAATTCTCTGGCAATGCCTATGAACACCTGCACTTGCACTCCCTCCAACTTCCTGCATTCAAGCAAACAGCAGGTGCCCAGTCTGGAGGACTGAGCACGTTGCCCACAGGGGACAAGGAGTTGCTTCCTTCTTCACAAAGGCTTCAAGGCATAAGCAGCTTTTTTCCAGAGGAACTGCACGTGTACATGCAGTCCTCCATATTCATGGAGCTGCAGAAAACCAGCTCATCACAAGCTGGTGACTTGTTTCCAGTTTTGAACCTGTTACTTCACTAGTAACTAAGCCTCCCCAAACCAGTAACCTCAATAGCCTCTCCCTACAGCACAGGGAAAGAATATCTCATTTACAGCTTTACCCACGCTTACAGTGGAACAAATATAGCTTCAGGCATGTGTGGGACTGGCTGATAGCCCTGCAGTTCAGCATTAGAGAAAGTTCTTCTTATTACAGGCCCAATCTAAAATGCCTTGTTTATAACTTACACTATTAAACTTTCACAACTTTATACAAACTCTTAATGATGTTAAAAAACACTGTACAAAACCACCTTAAGGCACAAAAAGTTAAACAGAAATGCAGCCCACTTGAAGCATCAAAGCAGCCAATTCAAGAGAAACTGGCCTTGTAGTAAAAGTACATAGTTCATTTATACATGTTAAGCTTCATTGTCATACATTAAAAACAGTAAATTTAGGACAAAATGTATGCTGCTCAGCATCTACTCTTTTACACCAGTACCAGTCTCCATCCAAGACATGATCTGTGGTTACAAACAGGAATTGAAACAGTTTGTAGGTCCCTTGAATGATCTGAACAACCATGACAACTATTACACATTTAGGTGTGCAGGTCTGGCAACATCAACGTGTTCTGTAAGGGTGGGAGGATGTCAACATGCTTCAACCTCAGTGCTTTGCTGAACTTTGTAACAGTGAGGAAGGATGGATGCAAAAAAAAAAAAAGGCAGGCAGAAGGGCCATGACTGAAGCTGGGAAAAACTTTAATCTTGCAGAAAGGAATTTTGGTAAGGCATGTCTGTCCTCCTGCAAGCCAGTTGTCTTGGGCAAAGGACTGAGCAGCAAAAGAAAGATGCCCATGAAGATAACTGTCCTGCCTAAGCACTCTGCAGGAGATCAGCACCACAGGCAGGGTCAGCAAGCAGGCAGTAATGCAATGCCCAGTAACGCAACTGCTCTGGTGGCTCAGATAGTCTTGGTTAACACATCTACTAGTGGCAACCAAGAGCTACCCAAGAAAACCTCACATGGTGGCTTCTCAGTAGGATCCTGTAAGTTCTGTTTACAGGAGGGAAGAAACAGCAAGTGACTCATTTCTCCAGAGTATGAAAAGTATGACAAAAAGCAAAATGCATCCAAATTCCATTATGAGTACTAGTGGAAGTTTTCTTACATGAAGTCTTCTGAGGAGTGAAAAGTTGTTCTGCCTACATGAATATTCAACATGGAATTCCATAAGGGAAGAAGCCTAATAGAACAGCTTAATTTAGGAGCAATTTTTCTGATGTGGCTTAAGGTGAAGGCAACCAGACCACTGGCAATGAAGCCTTTGGAAAGGTGCTCATTGCCCCAGTGTCATGATGCTGCTTTTCAGTTTTCTTTTTCTCCCATCCTTACAGCAACACTCAGATTACACTGGTACTGCTTGTCTTAGGAAACCATTTACCTTTTGTGTGAAGGAGGAACTGTAATATTAGCACAGAGCACTGAACTCCCGTGCACTAAAAAGAGTAAGAATTGGTACATTTGACCATAGGAAGTGTGTAGCCACAGGGAAAAAAGGAACAACTAGCTTAACAGTTTCTATTAATTGCTTTAAAGCAAGAAAACTTTTGTCAAGGTTTATTATAAAGGAACAGCATAAGGAAACCAAATAAATAGTTGAATAGTTAACAGTATGCAATATAACAGTATTAAACTTCTACATAAAAATTAAACTTTGGAACAGCATCAACAGGAAAGATTTCTTAGAAAACTAGGACTCAGTCCAAGACCCTCAGACATGTATATTGCAATTTTGACACTCAGTTGGCCCCAGCTTTGCCCTCTGAGGGACCATGTCCATTGAGAATGATGACCCATCCATACAGCTCCCTAATCACTCTGCCCTGTGATACACATGCTGTTTTTCCAAGTGTCTAAAGGAGAGCAATTGGGAAGCATGAAGTGTAAGTTGTGCTTCATTGTTTCAAAGGAAGCCCTCTCTCTTTCCTCATTTCATAGCCATACGGAACAAGGTAATGCCATTAGCCTAAGGATGCTTCTTTCTTCCTTAAAGCAGTAAATAGAGGAAGAGAAAAAGCAGAAATTACCTCATGCTCCCAGTAAAACTCCAGCTGGGTTCTGCAGAGGGGGTGGAATTGAGGGCTGATTTATCATTAGCTGGACAAGCTGTCTGATCTAACATGGTGAAGTCAGTGGAGAGAACTCAGGAACTTCAGTAGAGCTACATCAGACCCTGTGTCATTCTTTTTTTCCATTCATCAACACTGTGTGGTCACAGTGAGCTGGATTCTATTAGCACATCTTGCCCAGCACCAGAGGGGAAGGGAGCAATTTTTGCTGGCTCTCAAGAGTGACTGACTCCAGCAAATTCATCACCCTCTGAAGCAGGAGAGTTCACATGCTCCCAAAGAAATATCACCACTGTGACCTGGAAGTATTCCCCGATAGATTTATTTAGTTGTGGGACATGTGCATCTCCTCCTAGTGAAGCACAGCTCACTGGCTACACACCAGATGAGTCTGGGTCCTTGGTGTGATGTAAACAAATATATATACAGTATAACTCTGAAATCTGTACATCAAACCAGTTGATCAAATTCTCCTCCCATACAATTTTTAGATCAGAAGATAGTTCAACTGAAGTCAGGAGTCCTAAAAGGTGTTGGAGGAAAACCCAGCATTACCTATTTGCATTAAATGCCAAAACACATCCTAAAAAAACTCCTCTTGACATCTGTCACTGAAACACTTCCAATGTCAACTTCTCCAGAACACTGGAACAATTAACAAAACCTTTGCTATCAAGCAACAACAAAACCCCAACAGAACTAAAAACTGTGAAAAAACCAAACTTTTAACTTGTCAGCCACTTGAAATCTTGTTATCTGTTCCATGAAATTAAAAACTTGGCACATGTTCCTTGGATTTATCAGCATTTTCTTTTATCTAGAACATTTATTGCATATCAGAAATTCACTTGGCTAGGATATTTTTGTTTAGTAGAAAACATTGCCTTCCAGTTATAGCTATGAAGCTCCACGCAGTTCAGTAAATGAATTCTCCTGGTATTTCTTGCAGCAAGGGTTCCTCAAATTTAAATCGTTTGGAAATGGCTTTCTGCTCAGTTACTTTTTCTTTTTCTGACTGCCTACATTGTCCCAGTGTATATGATGCCACTACAATTAGTTCTTCTGTCACTATTGCGTCTTCCTCCTCAGTCTTCTCAGCATCTACTGATTTTTCAGAGGCAGAATCTGCATCTCCCTGGGTGACATCACTGGTCTCCCCATCTGTACTCTTACTCCAGGCCCTGCAAGCAGGATTATCACTTTGTTCTAACCAGGGATGTTGAAGACATTCTTCAGCAGTTGCCCGGTCCCTGTAGAGGAAGTGTTAAAATACATGTTCAAATGAAGTTGAAATCCAGTATCTTGCAGAAGAGATCCTTAGAAATAATTCCAAGGACATGACTGCATTAAAGATGGACTGATAGAGCTTTTTTAGGTGCTGATAGCTTTTTTTTTTAACCAAAAAACACCACCAGCAGCCCAAGGAGGTAAACTGCTAACACTGAAATTAAAGGAGCTCAGTTCATAGAGCCTTAAGTTTATTCTCCCACATTGCCAATCAACTTTCAAAGTTTATACAGGTTTTATTTTTTTAATAGATAGGAAAACTATCCAATCCTTACAGTCTTCAAATATTCCCACAGACAAGCAGTGGGCAATTTCAATAGTTGACATGCCTCATGAAGATCCACAGAAAACACCTATTTTGCAACCAGGAATTTCCAGTTTGCTGCCCACTGAGAAACCAACTAACCAACCAGAAAAGACTCAGGTACCAGCTCATAAAAAATAAAACCCTGAAAGCAGAGTTTATCTAAAAGGCACCAGCAAAGTACCCGCAAGGAAAGTCAGGATACTGTAGCACGTGCTACAATTGATATACAGTGTTATGAAATCAAGGTAAATTTTAATTACTAACACTTGGACACATCCAGAATATGCAAGTTTGGAGGAAAATGGAGAAATACTCTTTTCATACACATGAAAAGTAATAGAACAATGAACTATGAACCAAGTTCCCTTTTCCATTAAAAAAGGCAATGCCAGCACTTGCTACATTTAAAACAAATCTAGTCTGACATTTAGCATATACAAATATGTATTTTACTTACTCGGGTTTCTTAACCAGCAGAGTTTTGATGAAATCCACGGCAGACTCTGATATGAGGTCAAAGTCTTCTCCAGAGTAACTTACGTTCATTTGAGATATATTTAAGAATGTTTCTTGTTTATCATCCCCTAAGAAAGGTGATATCCCCGTTAGCATAACATATGCCAGTACTCCAATGCTCCTAAATTAGAAGTAAAAAATAAATTAAAAAAAAACCAAACAATCAGAAAAGCAGGTTTTAGTCCATTTGTTTAGTTGCTTGGTTTGGGTTTTTTTCTAAACCTTTTCAGTTAAGTAAGTTACAATGACCATTAATTTGTTCAACTTACCACATGTCGGTTGCTGTACTGATCGGGTCATAACTCAGAATTTCAGGAGCTATTCAGGGTAAAAAAAAAAATCAAGTTGTTTTTGTCACATGGAGACATTACACTGTAGTTATATAGCGCAATAACAGGCATGTGGTAAAATTTAAGATAACATATTTGAACCCTGGCAGTCTTTCATAAATAACTTAAATAGAAATATTTTTATTAAGTGATTACTATTATTCATTGGTTTAAAGTAAAAAAAAAAATAAAATTGCTTTCCTTTTATTGTCATCTTTAGAAGCCAGGCCAGACTCTTACGGAAAAATCAGAAATATCCAACATTCCATATTGTAGCACTGAAACCTATACCCATAAAGATTTACCAGATATTTTCAAGTACATTTTCAAGGCCTGGAATGATCTGTGTTTTTTAAAAAAGAAAAAAAAGAAAAAAGGATACAAACCTCCAGAAGTTAAATATTATATTCAGAGACTGAATATGTAATTTTGAACTTTTAATCCAGGTAACACTTCTTATCACTGCTGTAAGAATAATCTAAAGCATGTCCTCTTCAACACAGGCACACTATTATCACTTCTTAGGCTGGCAAGGCTTGTCAATTCTACCTTTTACAGCAGGATCATGTCCAAGTAATGACCTTTTCTTTGACACAAAACTACACAGACAGTCTGGCATTCACCAAATTGAGGTATTTTCTCTTTTCACTCCCCAAATCCTGGATTATACATCACTTCTATAGTAACAACTTACCTACATATTCTGGAGTTCCCATAATTTCTCTTAGTTCCTCACTGCTCTTCATTATTCTGGAAAGGCCAAAATCTACTATTTTAATGTCTCCCAGAGGAGACTTACTGGTTAGTAGAATATTTTGAGGCTGAAAAACAAAAGGAGGAGAATTTAAGACTCACCCAAATCTACTATCTGTGACACTGCATCAGATAATTATTTTACATCATGTCTAGCAATAATGCATTCCATAGCTAGTATGAAACCCAGGATCATTTGTTTTTCCTCAAGGTGAACCTGAAGAGACACACAGGCTAAAGGGAGTGGCAAGATTTTCTATTTGTAACTGAGAATCCAGCATCTACCCCTTACAGCTTCAAACACGTACAAAAAGCCTGCAATAGCTATAATTTAACAACAGCATATAAATACCTCCATATTTATACCTTGAATCCTTCATACCCCCTTTTTAACTCCCCTTCTCTCCTTGCTTCCTTCCAACAGGTGGTGTAAAATACCTCCCCTGTTGCAGGATGTCCAAAAACACCCAATAATTAAAAAACCTGAACACATAAAACTATTCTGACTACACCTGTTAAAAGTCTGTTGCAACCAAACTCAATCGTGTTCAAATTGTATTACAGAACACTAACTGAAGAACAGTTTAAAAAAGTACAGCAGCCTGAAAAACAGGTTTTTAACAGCATCACCTTTGGATAAACTTGTTGGCTCTGACGTCACTAGATCTTGGCTGTCATCCTTCAAAGCAACTTTGTGGTCATTAAGAAGTTCCTTACTTAAATGCTAGCTCAGTTAAAAAAAATAAATCTGAAAACTAAATTTAAACAACATGTCTTAGGAGATTTTTTGCAACTGAAAATTCTTTGCCAAAATGTAAAAAGGTGTGACCCTCCCTGCCCCTGGCCAGTGATCACGTTGGGTTCTGTCATTATCTTCTCTGAAGACTGACAGTTGACACTGTGTTCATGCCTCTGGTGAGCACAAGTTCCATGAAAGCAAAGTCGTCTTTATTTATCGGGAACCTGGATCAGAGTTTGAATCGGGGTAGTTTTTAAAATGGAGGAAGGTAAAAGAGTAAGAACACCAAAGCAACCACTGACTGATAATCCAACCGGATTAACACCAACATTTATACTTTTTCCTTAATCACTGAGCCATTCTCTCCTCATCCCCGTATCAATCATGAAGACATGCTTCCACATGAGTAGTCTTGCTTTTGAACACAGAAATAAAACTGTACAAGAACATCTTATAAACCTTGGGACAGTCCTCCTTGCTGCAAGACCTATATATAGCCGAGTTCTTTCATTCCTGCAAAGTTAAACCGTGGTATTTCAAACTCACTCCACAATGTTGTCAATCTTGTTTCTGTTTGTAAATCTACGCATTAACAGCAGCTTCTTTTTTGCTTACAAACTTGGATCTGGTGGCTGTACAAAGGCTTTTGGAGCTCTGCATTACCATATGCTTTATAGTTCACATTCGTTATTCTGTGTTTGTATTAGAAAAGCAAATATCCAAAAAAGCTGACCATGCCTCCCTAATTAGCCTCTCAGATGTTCTTCCCAGTGGAAAATTTAGTTACTTTCTGAAGAGGCAAATAAGAAGCATGAGAAAAGCATTTGTCCTCTATATTTAAATGAGGATAAGTTGTTAATGGAAATGTTATGTGAAACCCTTAAGCCCTCTATTACAATATTTCAGTAGAGAACATAGTTGCCAGAAGTTTTTCTTGTATTTTTATAAAAAAAGATCTTCCTACTGAAAACAAACCTATGCAGAAAATACCACACCTGTCTACAGTATGAATCAAGTCATAACCTTAAATCATTTCATAAGGAAATACCAGCTGTTTTCTTCTTTTAAGGAATCATTATGGGGTTCATGTGAAGTGACAGCCTAAACGCCAGCATGAAATGTTAAACAAGTTTTAGCTTTGGACTTACCATAGCTTTCAACACAATTACTCAAAAACTTTTAATAAAAGGAAGATCATTTTCTCATATGTAATACTGCTTCTCTTTTGTTTTCCCTCTGCTATAATACATTTAGGTTTGCCTAATACTCAGTAGTCCACAAGTGAGATGCAGGACAGAGGCTCTCCTGGTAGCCACT